TGCGGCGGCGATGTCATAAATATTCATGGTTACTGTTATGGCTATTATTGTTATTTATTTTTTAGCCCGCGTTTCAGCCACTAATTAACATCGACAATCCGTTTGCTTCGTTCAGCTTAATGATGTAACCTTACCAAAGGGACTCTCCTGTCCAAGTCCTTACAGCAAATAGCTTTGTGCGTACTTCATTAGGTGCCTGTCGTCGGCAATCAATGTCGTTTGTTCCACTAAAAGCAATTCCTTCAGAAGCCCTGGATGGTGACGAAAATGAAGTTAGTCACACATGGAATCTGGCAAATTTTAATGCTAATTTCGTTAGGCCGACACATTAGGGCAACGAAGTCTAAGCCAATAATAGTTGTAGCCATCTTGCGAGCCATTAATGCTGCATGATCTAGACGACCAAATGCAGCGCCTAAGTGACAGCTGCATTAAAACCTGATTCCGAATACGGAATCAAAGCGGGCGACATTAATAACGAATTTATGAGACATTCGTAGACAGCCCCTCAGAGTTGCAGTATTTGCATATTATAGCATAAACCTTGACACACACACACACAAACACACATACTTATGAGCGGGGGTAGCAGAGGGTCCTTCGAAGGAGGCGGACATGAAACTCGCTGCGACAATTTGAGTGCGCGACTGCCACAGGATTTGGAGCCTGCAACATGGAGGCTCAGTGGTGAGGGAAATGTTCTCGGTCGCTGGTTGTTGCCACATGCATCAAACATGTTCGCCATTAAATGGCAGCCACTTAAAGCCTTGAATACTGCCACAGAATCCTGCCGCTCCTCCCCCCCTCCAACCCCTTGGTATCCTGTAACTGAGAGTGCAGTGAAGTGCTCGTCCTTTTCTGCCTTTAAGAGGTCCTCGACGAGCAACTTGCCTCTCAATTAACTGAAAACTTTAAATGCAAACCCGAGTTGATTGAAGATGGCGGCAAGATGGTTCTTAGGTGGCACTGTTTGATTAGGCTGCAGTAACAGAAACTAAGCAAAAACCCATCAGTTCGCTTGGCCAAAAGTTTTGTCAATTAAAATATGAAAAATACGCCAGTCGAGGAGATGGAGTTGGACAAACAGTCCAGTGAGCCAGAGTGCCAGTGCCAACTAATAAAAAGTTTTTGCTTGGCAAGTCGCAAAATGACATTGCAAGTAATATTTTGGCCATATATTTGGCCCAACTTTCACTTGCAACTGTTGCCGCTTGCCACTCGAGAGGAGTCGAAGGATGAGAAGCAGGGGGGGCAGGACGAATTTGCATGCGCCCAGAGTGCCAGAAACTTTTATAATTAATAAATTATTTATGAAGAACGAATGAAAAGGAGCGAGCCAAGGAAAACAGGAACAACCGAATGCAATTCACTTCATTTTAAATAATGAAAAATTGCTTTGCCTTTGCCTTTGCATTTGCACCGCTTGGCCAGCGTCATAAATAAACAAGGACGAGCCAGGACGACGAGGGCCTGGACAAAGCGTACAGGAGGCAAATGCAATTTCGCAACTGCAACGGCAGCTTCGAGAGTTCGACCGGTCCATTCAATGATCCACAACAGATCAGGGCCGCTTTCAGTGGAGCAGAAATGCCAGGAGGTCCTCACTAATCCGGGCGGAATTGCGCGAATCGCCGAGGGGCGCAAATTAATAACAAAAAAGCCGAGGACCAAGGCGAAAGCTGGCACTGAAGCTGAAGCTGAAACTGAAGCTGATTCCCAATGCCTGGCGAAAATCGTACAATTTGTTAGACGTTTGGCATTTGAATTGATTGAAAGCGCGGCCGAGTGAGCGATGCGATGCGATGCGATGCGGAACGTGAATGGAAATCGGCCGAATGGCGGCCGGCATTCAATATCAATTCCGGGAATTTATAGCTCGCCGAAAAGTGAGTGCAGTAAATTGAAGTTGCGAGTGTGTGGCTACACGGCCAAGAATTCTCAACGCTTCAGCGCTTCGGGGCGTATTCGATCATTTCTACATTTTTACAACTTCCTGATTGGATTGCGATTGCCGCTCTAAGGTTCTAAGGTGGCTCTAAACCTAAGCAGCTGGCTTAGAATTCACTTCCGATTCAATCGGAACTTTAAAGTTTCAAATGCAAGAGTAGGGGTGTGTCTAAGTGGTCTGGAGTTGGGGCTTTGCTTCTGGCATCCAGCTTTAAACCACTAAAAAAAGTCAGATTTTCCGATTCAGAGAATTTCATTAATTAAAAAAAAAAAAACAATTATTGCATCTATTTTTACATAGTTACCAACTATATCGGATAGCTTCCATCGGAGATATCGACAAAAATTATGAGGAAAAATTATTATGCCGTTATTTTTTAACATGTCGAATTTGTTTCTCCCAAATTGTGTTTTTTAACAACTATTGAATATCAAATGAAATTTTATCAAAATCAGATTACCAAAGAATAAAAATATTACACTTTAAATCTTAGTCCAAATTACACTCATCAAAAATGGTTAGCCAAGCCCACAACTTTTATTGTTTTAGTTTACAACTCCTTTCAAAATTTTCGAAATTTGGGTTTGCTGAATATTTACTAATTCTAAGTCCATAACTTTTTTTATTTTAATCACATTTCGTAAGGCAAAAAATGTCTCATTTGCTGTTATGCATAACCAATGATTGAAATTGAATGGCGTTCGTTTATCTATTTGTTACACGTTGTAAGTTTTTTTTATCAACTAAAATTCTCTAAAGAGTTTCTAAATATTTTTTTTTCTTTCCCAAGAAGGTCCACTCTGCCCCAGTTGCATGTGCATGTGGCATTGAATCGGCTCCGTGCTGCTAAGCTGAGGAGCAGCTCTGCTGGGCTTTTATCCACTCGGGCACTTTGCTGCTACCGATATGGGATAAGTGCTTCCTGCCGATGCAATTGCTGCATCTGGCTCTAATGATGCCATAATTGCCTTTGTTCTGCTTGCCAGACTGTAAGTGATACGAGTGTCTCCCCACCTGCTTGGCTTGTCATTGTCGAGCAGATAAATGCCGAGTCGTCATAGTGCAGATAATTGCCGGGCGAACAAAAGCGGCGTCCTTAAAGCGTTTTCCAAAGCGAGGGTATCAGCTTCCAATTCCGACAGGCCCCTAAATAGCCAACAAAAGAGGATGAAATTGGGGGATTTTTTTCCACAGAGTGGGAGAGGGTGGGAAAAGGGAGTGGAAAAGCCGGGGGATGTGCCTCAAAATAAAAGTCAAAAGTGTTGCCAAAGCATAAAATGGACGACAGTCCGTGAAATTAAATGCCAGCAGGACATTGAAAGCGATCTGAGTCCTGCCAGTTCAACTCCGCGGACTTCCCCTTCTCAAAAAAAAAAAGAAGGCAAAACAAAGCGATTTGTGTGTGGCAGCGAAAAATTCACGCACAATTATTTTGCAACGACAAAAGTCATTAAAGTACTCTTTTGTTGTGTGGCAAATGTTTATGTAAAATTTATTTTGTTTCCGCTTTATAAAAGCGGAGCCATGGAGTGAGTGGAAAAAAACAAGGAAACTAGCTGCGAAAGCGGCACAGAAAGTTGCATTGTTTATGTTTATGGCTGTTGGCACATGCTTTATTTTTACGCAGATTTATTTATGGCTATTTTTACTGCATACTTTTCAGCTGCTGCTGCTGCTGCTGCTCGGTTGCTCCTCCCCATCGCCCCATCGCCCCAATGTTAACCTCAATTCCCCAGACAGAGTCCGGACAAAAACGAAATCCTTTTTTCTATTGATTTTCCACTGGCCAGAAGCGATTATTTGTTTTGCATTTTCCACGCCGTCACCCAAATGACCCCAAAAACAGCACGCAGCTTAGAAGGGTTTCCCAAAGTGGGTGGCTTACGGGGATTCTCCTGAAACCCCACTGATGGCATCTCGGAACGAGAATCCTGAACAGATCTCCAGCCCCGGCTATTTCACGCTCCCTTGCGCCCCAACACTTCGTGCAAATATTTATTGACTGCTGCGCTCTTTTGCATTGAATTATCATATACCGCCTGTCATATGAGACCGAGCTGCTGCCTCTTTGCAACAATTCCCAGCGCCTATTAACTCATGACAACGACAACTGATTTCCCCACGGCCAGCTTCCTACAACTTACACACAAATTCAAATTCAAATTCAAATTGCATTTATCTAATTTTGAACTGAACACGCAGCCGCAGCCTTGGACTTGGACAACATGCCACTGGGAAAATTCCCACGGGCGACGGCTTTGTTTGCCGGCCAAAAGCTGATCCTGTTACAACGCCCCAATCAAAACATGGCCAAGAGGAGCGGAGCAGCGTGATGATGGCCGTAAGTGATTACTCAATGCCCCTTGCATTGGCCAAGCCGGGCTGGTATTCATATCACTTTGCACGAATGGAGAAAACCCATTGATCAGGCGGGCTTTCAATTTAATAGACGCCACGCTAATGATTCAGCGGAATTCACTCACCTTTTGTCCTTCGCTTCTATTTCAGCCTCCCCCCCCCTTCCTCTTGCACCATTACATCTGCACCTGCAGATAGAAATTCAGAGGATATAGGATATAGAAGTCGTATTGATTTGCATGGCCATGTTTATAGTACAATGGCAAATCCGCGACTCAGCTCAACTTTTGCAGGTCGTGCATTTCAATTGATTCCCGAGCCGGCTTTCAATGCCGTTCGTCCTTGTTGCAGTCCGTTTTTTATATCCTGTTCAACTGTGTGCAAGTGTGTGTGTGTGTGTTCCTGTTTCCCGTCACGGATACCTAACTGGGGGAAAGAAACAAAAAAAAAAAAAAACGAAAACAATGGAGCTTTGCAAATTACTTGCCAGCAGATGCACAACTGGTTAAGAGCAGCTGCTGCCGTCACTTTAAAGCCAATGTACCGTGAAGTAATCGGGTCCGCAACTCAATTATGGGGCATAGAATGAACTGCCGCCGATCAGACGGCATTAACATTAACATTCGCATTTGGCTTGCTGCCGCCGCGTAAGTACTTATTTATTTATTTATGCATTATTGAAAAGCATTAAGCATTAAGAGATTAATGCGTCGGTTGACCAAAGCAATTTTATTGCGGCATATGTCGGGGATTTGTTTCTTGTATTAAAGTCGATAAGTTAAATGCCCTTTATTTTACACGCAGGCGCTTTCTGGGTTTTCCATCTGAACTGGGAGCTTGGAAGATCCTGTGATTTTTAGTGGTTTCTTCGTTAGTTTTCTTTTCTTTTGCATCACCAGATTTAATATTTAATACTTCTTTTTTCGGAAAGGGTTCTCCTGCTGGCATATAATCCATTTCCTCCTCTTTCTCAAATTCTTCGTTAATTATTTCAATGGCACAACGGGCTGGAAACCAACCTCTAATGGCACCTTTTCTTCTGAGTCCTCTTTCCTTCTCCTCCTCTGAGATTATCCTCTCACCATAAAGCCAATAGTCACTAATGCGAGTCACCTGTATAAGATCGTCAGTGTCCAGGATAATGCGGGGATCATCAGTGCAAGGTATTTTAAGGGAAATCCAGAGACCCTGGGAGAAAATGGGAACCCAATGGCCAGTTGCAGGACGAATGCATTTGTATAGGCGAGTACGAGCTCTTTTATCCTTTTTCTGCTCCAGTTGTTCCCGAGTGAGCGTATATTGATTACAGCCTGGTAAAACTGGCCAAGATATGCCATCGCCATTATCCCAAAAGACTTCACGTAGGTTTTCCCGCCAGCCAAGATTGTAGGGAAAAACAAATGGCTTAATTCGATTGCCAGGATATGCGTTGCGACGAAAAACGGCCTTCTTCACTATCCAACTCTCGATTTCAGTCTGGTTCTTTAAGACCTCCTTAATCTGCATGTAAAGCAACTTAATACAGGCCAATCCTGCTCCAGTGGTTATGCCAAAACTTAACATACAGGCCATTAGATTTAAATAAGTCAAATGAACCGTGGCCAAATGTTGAAATCCTTTTCTGATCAACCAGCGTTTGGATAATCCTCGAATTACGGCAGATACTATTATAAAACCGCCATGAATGCTGGCCGCTAGGAAAAAGAGTAGAAAGTAGATAAAGCTGTCCTGATTTAAATGGCCGACACATGTATTTATCCAGGGGCAATGATGATCCATCTTCATGACACATCGATCACAACGACGACAGTGATGCGATCTGGGAGGCTTGTAACCCTCACAGCGGAGGCAAAACTGAAGGAACTTAGTATCCTTGACACTTTCCGGATGCCATTCGAGTGGGATAAATCCAGGACCCACTATTAAAGACTTCACGAAGTGGTGCAAGGTGCCAAAGGTGAGAAACCAGATCATTGAGTAATTCAACACGGATCCAAAAGTTTCGCCAGGAGCCCACCACATGGAATTCATTTCGATCACCGTCCATGTGACAAATAAGGTGAGACTGAAAAGTGTTATAGGACCCCAGTGCAGGAAGCGCCTGAGATCGTCCTTCAAGTCGCAGCTCATGGATAATGCAGATGGAGGCTTAAAAAATCATCCAGTAAATATTACAATAAGTTCACTCAATAAATTTCAGTGAGTGAAAATGTTGGGTGTGCTGTGTCTGACATTTGAAGTTTCGTTTGAGTCTCATTTAGTGTAGTTAACCAAGTCCAGTTGGCCCAATCGAAGCTGCCCGTGGCCAAATGGAGGATTAATTAAAAGAGCAGGCCACATGTTGTTGGGTTGGGATATAATGCCCGCGGTGTTTGTGTGTAATTAAATAAAGCACAACTATTTAAAACGCCGCGGTCGTTTGCAGGATAATTTATAAAACTTATTTAAGGCATTGGCAACAGGCGGGGCTTCGAACGGCCGAGTATAAATTTGCTCTTAAGCCGCAAATGAAAAATATTTTAATCAAAAAAAATGTAAATAAATTTAAAAACAATAAAAGTGCAAAATGCCGGCCATAAATAAAATGCAGCCTAAGAGCACGGCGAGGCCAGGCAGTCGTCACCACGGCAGACAAACAGTCAGACTTTTCCACATCCACGCCGTTTCTGCTATTATTATTATTAAGAATTAATAGCAATATTTGCTGATGCTGTATGGCTTAAAAAACGAAATATACAGCCCGATATGTGGAGGCTCCAACAAAGCTACGCATGAATTCAATTGAATTTAAAATGTGCCATAAATTTATTGCATTCAATATGCGAGTTGCCTGGCGTGTTGCTGTGTATGTGTGTGTGTGCATATGTGTGGGTGCACAAAGAACGGTATTTTGGTATTATTTATGGCAGTGCATATAAACAATAATATTTTGGTAGCGCCAAATTCTTTGCCAAACATTTACTAATGCCATTAATTGATGATAAATGTTTCGCCGCACGCAGACAAAATGTAATCGATGTTTTGGCAATAGAACGCACTTCAAGTGCACAGAAAAAAAAATTCCGTTTTAGCTACAAGGATATTTATGATGGTGAATAACGAAAACGATGAGAATAGATAACTATTTTGATATAAATCCTTGACTTTTTGAACTAAAAGTGAGTGCAAATCTAAGATACCCAATTAAGCATTCAAGAGAAAATTAAAATCGATTTCGAAAAGTATAACATTTCGTGCAGTGCAATCATTTCCACATCCCGAAATTCGGTTAGCAGGCTTTGTAATCGGTTGGTCCGAATGTTTGGGACCTCCAGCTGGTGTCCTGATTTTGTTTATGAAATAGTTGCGTGGGCAGTTTGGCCAATTACTCGCATTCATGGGGACCTCCTGCAAAGAGTCCACCCTTTGATTTCCCGGCTGAGCGAACACATGACCCATAATGAGTCTCCAAGCGGGGATTTGTGCGACTTGCAAGTCTCGTTAACTCGGCTAACAAGCGCCGTCATTTACCACAATGCGACACTCGGGCCTAACAAGCCAAAGTGACAATTGGCCGGGAACAGAGGATAAAAGGTGAGAGCCAAGCAAATAAAGTTTACTTTAATTGGAATTTAAAATGTGTCCAGGGGTTACGGGCTTATTTATTTATAATATTTATAAATAATAAAGGGAAAACAGAAGTAAATCATTTTCCCCTTGGTCGAACAAACGAAATAAAAGTATACAAATATTTATTAAAATAAAAGATCACACACTTTACACAGCTTACACAAAGTTTCCAAGGTGAATGAACGAAACGATATGGGATATTCAATCGGAACCTAAAATACATATCCATGCTCCATATCTGGTGGCAACATATCCTCGCTGCCCTGCAAAAAGCAATCTATTTTGCTCCGCAGATTAGATGGCAATAAAATTGATTGAAACATAATTGCAAATTGATACAATAGCTGGGGAAAATTGCCCGGAAATGCCAAGAGCCAAAGGCAATCTATAAAAGTAACGAAAATTACTTCAAAGCGAGAATCCTGCAGAATAGTAACGCGTCGCCATCTTATTGGCCATTACGTGCAGTTAGATGAACAGTTGAGAGCGGCTTATTGAGCTGGCTCGAACGGAACTCGAAACTGGTCCTAAAGCGAAAGGGTTTCTAAGGAACTTAATAAATTGAAAGCTCCACGCAGCAATCTGCACAGAAAAATGCTTCAGTGGTAAAATTTGTTTGATCGAAAAAATGATTTCGTATTACAGTTTTATTTATAAATATTACATAGGTAAAGGTAACATCTTATTATCAAGAATCCAAATAATCATTTATTAAAGTTCGTTTTGTTATTAACGCTTTTTAAGCTGTACCCAAATGAAATTTAAGATTGATAGAAATGTATATTAATTTAAATCTTTAAGGTTTAATAATTGCGGACTTCAAAGCATAATTTTTTTCAGTATTCGAATACAGTTCACCCGGTATATTTCTTTCAACGATCTCCTTGCAATGGAATCGCTTCAATTATGTTTCAAGTGTCTCCAGAGCCGTTAAGTATCTTATAGTTTACCATGTAATTTTTCGTCAATGCCAAGAGTTTATTACGACTGAAGAGTGACTGCAACTCGCGAAGTGAACAGCCAAAGGCGGCTTTTGTGCACAGCTGAAGATGGAAGATGGAGATGCTCGGTCTGTATCCATGGGAACTTTTTACGCAAACTTATTTACTTAATTTGAAAATTAAATTCCGGCATTAAAACGCATAAATGACACTTGAGCCCGACTCGCTCTGATGTGATGTGTGGTGTGCTGTGCTGCGCCAGTGTGTGTAAGTGTACGAGTGAGTTTGTGTGTGTGTGTGTGTGTGCCAGTTTGTTTTTCTTATCAAAATGCCTGCGGCAGAGTGCTGGCAAATATCCTCGCACACACCAGAGAGTATATATCCCTTAAGACAAACAACGCGTACAAAACGAGCGAGGCTTTCAGGGGAGTGGAGCTGCTGGCTGCTGGCTGAAACCGAGGCTCGGAGCCTGGCCAAGTGCACGCTTAAAAGTCAAAAGTGCAGAAAAATGCATGGCACACAAAGGGGGGCGGGGTGAGGGGGGCGGAGGAGAGGGGAAGCGGAGAGGAAAAACGCAGAAGACGTTGCCAAGACAAACAAGCCAGTGAGGAAGGCATATAAATTGCGTTACTTGTGCGGGTGGCTAAAGGCGGGAAAAGCGGGAAAAACTGGGAGGGGCGGGGAGTGCGGAAGAAGCGGGGAATGCCGGCGGGGGGTAAACGTTTTCGGTGTTTGACATACGACGTGCATTAGCAGCAAAGTCAAGGATTAGCGCCACTTGTCTTAAGAGCCGAGCACGAAAACCCGCACCGCATGAAATTTAAATACATTCCAGCCGCCATTAAAGCCACTGCGAATCAATTTGGCCAACCGATATCTACATACTCGCATACATATTTGTGTACACACTGCCCCAATGGAGTGCGCTCGCTTAATGCGGCCAATTCAATTTGGCCAGCACACGGGAGTCCCATAAAAGCCAGGCCCGCACATTGGACACAATCCGCATTTAAAGCGTTTGGCTTTAATGGGCTGAACTTTTGCCAACAACGAGTTTAGCCGACAGCAGGCCAAATAGATAGCTCAACAAAAAAGGAAAAAAACAACCGAAACGGGATAGAAAAAAATGAGGGGGAAAGACGGAAAAAGCGGAAAGACGTCAAGGAAATGCCAAAGCTATCGCAAACGCGTTTCGCAATTTTTGAAGGATGTGTTAAGTCAAAAAATATGCAAATTCAACGCACACAGCGATGTTCGGCCGGGCAGAGTTAATACGGCCCAAAGGCAAGCCCCTCCGAAAATTCACACACACATAGAAACACATACATAGACAGGAACAGGAGTCGCACACATACAGTATAGATATATACGTATATATATATTATAGATGGGCGGCTGTGCGGGCGCCGTACGTGTAATGCATACGAAAGTAGTGAAAATATCATCAATGGCAAAATATGAATATCTAAAAGGGATAACGAAAAATGGAGTCAAAACGAAACGGGCTAACAAAAAAAAAATGAAAAAAGGAAACTGCGAGCTGGAAGTGAGTCGAGCGCCAAGAACAGAAGGCTTGTGCCTGGGAAAAAGTGCAAATGTCAGTTTCGAAGTGCCACGAACTCGGCGGAGCGGCGGAGGAGAAGTCGTGGCGGACAACCCGTCTGAGTTGAACTCAGTTCATGACATTTGACTGAAAACTAGACAATTTCCTGGCTCTCCGTCTGTTGTGCTGACATGTCCTGGTAATCAGTTTCCCCCGTAATTGCATCAAGGCTTAAAGCGTGCTCACGAAACTTCGCGAAAGGTTTTCGCTCGTTTCGATGTTATCTCATTAATGGGCAATTCATGGGCCACAACTTTTCTTTTTCGGCCTGCTATCGCGGAGCGAATAGCGAAGTGCTTTTAAACAAGAAAGGAAGCTAGCTTCGGCAAGCCGAAGCTTATATACCCTTGCAGTCATCAAATATGTCGAACAAAACTCATAAAGGCTAGACAACATCGAAGCTAAAACGATTTTTCTATTCATTTTCCATATTTTTGACTATAGATCATATGGGAGCTATACGATATAGTTGTCCGATTTTGATCAAATTTAATTCGTAATTCAAGAGTCGTAAGAAAACTCTATATTCCAAAAATCATACTTGTCTGATGAAAAACAACGATGTTATAATTTTATTTCCATTATTTCTATATAGATTTTTCGATCTTTCCTATGGCAGCTATAAGATATAGATGACCGATTTTTATGAAACTTTTTTCTCAATATAAACGTTGTTAAAAAACTTTATATTCAAAAAATCATGCTCGTGGGATAAAAAACAACGATGTTATCAATTTATTTCCATTAATTCTATATATAATTTTCGATCTCTTCTATGGCAGCTATATGATAGAGTTATCCGATTTTGATCAAATTTAATCCGAAATTCAATAACAGTTAGAAAACGCCATCTTGAAGAATTCAAGTCGATCTGATCAAAAACAACGGAGTAAGAATTTTTTATTTCATTCTCTCGTATGGGAGCTATCCGATATAGTCGGCCGATCCGGCCCGTTCCGACTTATATACTGCGTGCAATAACTACACACATTTTGGGAAAGTTTCAGCGAGATAGCTTTAAAACTGAGAGACTAGTTTAGGCAGAAACGGACAGACGGACAGACGGACAGA